GGCTGTCAGGGCCCGTGAGCGTACGGGTTCCTGTGTGCTGTTAAGGAGGAAACAGGCTCTGTCTCGGCACTCCGGGGAGGGAGGGAGGGGGCGGGTTAACGGGCAGTAGGCCTGAAGTGGCTTTGTAACTACTTCTGGGAGGCTAGGGTAGGGTGGTGTGTTTCTGAGCAGACCCCTTCTATTATGTTGTTACTGATAAAACGTGGTTTATCTTTATAGTGGTGGCAGAGGTTTGGGTTTGGTTTTTTTTTTCTCTAGCTTAATTTCCCTGTTTGTTTACTGTTTATTTCTTTTGCGTTGACTAATCCCTTCCTAAGTATTACAGAACTCGAACAGAACTAATGACTTGTTGGACTAGCAAATGAGGCTCAGAATTCTTGTCTTTCATGTAATCACTCCTGCTGACTTTTTTAATAGGCATACGGCCTCCTATTGTGAATGGCCCAATGCCAACACGGCCACTGGTTGCACTCCTGGATGGACGAGATTGCACTGTGGAGATGCCCATCTTGAAGGATGTTGCTACAGTGGCATTTTGTGATGCTCAGTCAACTCAGGAAATCCATGAAAAGGTGGGCACGAAAATGTGCGAGCATTCAGACATAGAGCTCTGCCTCTTGGGCTATCTGAAGCAGACTGATTTGCACTGGTTTTTGTTGTAGGTGCTGAATGAGGCAGTAGGAGCTCTGATGTATCACACCATTACCCTTTCTCGTCAGGATCTGGAGAAATTCAAAGCCCTCAGGGTCATTGTGCGTATTGGCAGTGGCTATGACAATGTTGACATCAAATCCGCTGCAGAATTAGGTATGATGACACCATTAGGGCTCTGTTGTGATCAGAACTGAATGGGAAGTGGAACATTGCACATATTTTTCTGTTTTATAGCTGAGTGCATTTTAGATCTATGTAAAAAGATTTGGAGCTGCTTATCGGGCATTTTTAGGAAGCTGATGATATCGGAGTTGGTAGGTGGCTTGAAAGAAAGATTCTTAGCTCTCGGATTGCTCTGCTGTAGGTGTCAGTGTCTCTGCTGTTGTTTGTGATTCAGAAACCTGAGTACAGTGTCCAGGTAACTTTTGGTGAGGCAGCTTTGGATTGTTTGTGGGAAAAGAATTGAGCAAACTCTGACGTCCGAAAGCAGCCTGCAAATGCTGGTACAGGATAAACTCACTGTAAATGCTTGATAAGTGAGTTTTGCTTTGTTATATGCAGGTAAGTTCTGATTCAACACTACTACTGCTCCCTTTAGAGCCTTATGCATGTGAAGAGTCTGAGTCAGGTGGCCAAAGCTGCTATTTTATGAAACGCGTGGCAGTGAGACTTTCAGACCTTGTAGTCCCCCAGGTGATGTGGGTCATATAAGTACCTTGTCCCTTCTTATTTTGGGCTTGTGTAAGTGGTTTGAAACCTTTCTTAACGTAATGCAGATTAGATTAAGCTTAAATCAAATGCAGGTAAAATTGAGATAGGTGTTACAAATTCTGGATCTGTAAGGACAGCTGAATTGTAAGTAAAAGAGGAGTGCTTATTTGTCTAGTGCTTGGATTAGGTCTTCTGGTCTGAATGATTCAACTGAAGGCTCCAGAGTTCCTGGCAAGGTCTTTGGTTCTCATCCAGCCATTACATTTTTGGGCTGAGTTTGGAAACTGATCTACTCTTAGGGTTCTCCACTTCCCATATCTGATTCATTCAGATTCAAAGCTTTCTTTCCCCCCACTCCACACTCATTAGCTCAAAGAGAAATGAATGGGTGAAATTCTTTCACCATCAAGATTGCTGCTTGCCAGTTTTGCTTTGGAAAGGTACTGTGATGACCCTCAGGCATGGCCATATGTGCTTTTTCATGGATAGCTAATGATTATTTTCATACTTACCCAGGCCCTTTAATTCATTCTGAGGTAAGATACTGTTCCTTATGTGTTCTGAATCTTCGAATCAGACCAAAGGGCTGCTGTGTGTGCTTGCATTTCTTACCTTTAGGCATCGTATTGCATGTAAACACAAATTTGTGTCTAGACGTGTAAGAGATGAATGCATGCGGCTTGTCTGAAGTTGACTGAGGTGGAAACCAATGAGGTTAAAAGAAGATAGATTTCCCTGTCTTCCCTCCTCATGTCTCTGAGTAGTCTAGGGGGTGTTATTGCACAATTGCAATGGATTTTGTAGAGATTTCCCTAGTTCTCTTGGGAGAGCATAGTCTGACTTTAGTCAAATGTCTCCTCTGTAATGGGCTTACAAAAGACTGATGCATTGCTGAGTTTCATGTGCCTTCAACCATTGCCTGGATTTTGTTCCTACTTTTTAGATAGGTGGTAGACTTTCGAGGGGGAGAGTTTTCTTGGTTTGGCAAGTGGCGAGGATTGCATTTGGGAAGAGACCATTTTTAATTTAGCTATTTTTATTTCTTAGCTGGTTTGTTGACTGAAGGACAGCTGCAACGGGGAATGACCAGATTTTGCTACAGTGTTCTATCTTTCCCTTTCCTGACAGTATTTTGTGCTTCCAGGACTTTAACTCAGTTTGCATTAGTAATTTACCTGATAGTTCTAGCTATGGGTTTTATGGTCCCTTGTGGTTGTATGTTATTCTAGAGTGGGAGTGTTACGTATTGCCATTTTTTAAGTATAACTTCAAATGGATTTAGAGAGGCTCCTGTGGCTTCTCTCTGTGTTTAATAAATGACTTACTTATTGTTGCTCCTGGGGAAGCTGATGCTTGCAGCGAGCATCTGGACTGTGAGGCACGAAAGAGCTCAACCATCTGTCTTAATTCTTCTTCAGTCTGCCAGTTAATGTGTCAGGACTATCTCTGAAATGAGAGCATCTTTTTGGACACAGATCTTACAAAAGTCCGTTTCTTGCATCACTGGTATGACCCAGTTTCCTTATTTCAGTCTGTTTTGTTTGTTTTTGTTTTTTGTTCTGGTGAGTGTATCAGTCAAATGGATATTTATAAGGAAGGAATGGTATTTCTTTGGGATTAAAAAGCTGGTGGTTGTTTCTGTGTTCTGTTAATGATCTTCTGAGATGAATCCTGTGTTCCTTGGCAGTGGTTATGGAGCACTGAATTATCTTTCAGCACTTATGCCTGAAGAGCTCTATGTTGGTTTAGCATTGTGATGCTAAAAATCTTATATGACCTCTATGGCTTTGTAGGCATTGCAGTTTGCAACATCCCTTCCTCCTCAGTAGAGGAGACCGCTGACTCCACCCTCTGCCACATATTGAACCTCTATCGCCGTGTTACTTGGCTACATCAGGCTATGAGGGAAGGGAATCGAGCCTCAAGTGTAGAACAGATTCGAGAGGTGGCTGGTGGCGCTGTGCGTATCCGTGGGGAGACTTTGGGCATCATTGGACTAGGTAAGTGATGGGAATTGTTAGACTGAAAAGTGAACTCTGAAATCAGTTTCTGGGAATGTAAGAGTCACAGACTGAAAACAACGTTACAGCTGTTTATTGTGAAATGCACTGACTTGTAAGGAATGCCAGTGCCCTGTTCTGTGGTGCTGGATATCTTCAAGAGTTGGGTATATGTCATGGGATTGGGGATTTCTTTTCTATTTTCAAATGGCTAGAAGAATTGGAATATGCAGACAGTTCTTCTCAGTGACTGTTTCCCTGTGTGCTAGGCTGTGTATCAGTGACAAAGCCACCTGAAAGCTACCAGTTCCTTCTCCAGGTTCTTGTAATCAGATTGTTATTGCTTCTGACTAAGGGTCCAGATTTGCTCGGAAAAACAGAGCTCCTTCTAGGCTAAGCTCTGGCTATATTGCATGGGGAAGGACTAGAATTAGCCATATGGGATCAGCACTGAATAACCTCCTCTGGATCCCTATGGCAATCTTAGGGGTTTCCAGGGCTACGTTACCTTGGACCCTGGCAGTAAAGTGGAGTGTAGGCTCCCAGTCTATCCCAGTATCTTGTCTTTAAAGTTTGTTTTACCTTTCCTTGATGATTGTGGGTTTTCTTTTGTGAAGGCCGAGTTGGACAGGCAGTGGCTCTGCGAGCCAAGTCCTTTGGCTTCAACGTGATTTTCTATGATCCCTATCTGCCGGATGGAGTGGAGCGATCCTTGGGTTTACAACGAGTAGGAACCCTGCAGGATCTACTAATGCACAGCGATTGCATCACATTGCACTGCAGCCTGAATGAACATAACCATCACCTCATCAATGACTTCACTATTAAACAGGTGCAGCAGGAGCTTGATTTCCCCCACAGAGCACTGTGGAAATGAATGCAAACAGAAACTGCTGCTTTCAGAGAGGCTGAGAGCATGTGAATCCTGCTGCCTCTGTCGTGTGCCTCCTGCTGCTGCCTTTGGAGGCTGGGAGCGTGTGGATCCGGGTGCCTGTGCTTTGTGCTGTGTAGAATTTCACATTAAGAGAAGAATAGGATTGGCTCTTCTGGCCAAGTAATTTCACTTGTAAAAAATGCTTTAGGTGATTCAGTAATTTCAAATTACCTTTAAACTGCGTAATTGACTCTGGCTGTTAGAGCCAGATGTGCTGTGGCTGGGACTGTGTAAGTTTTTTTACACGGCTCTGCCAAAGCCTCTCTGCCCAAGCCCACTGCAAAGTCAGTCTCGGGCTCTACTCCACTAGTCTATGAATGCTTATCAGTGCTTTCATGTGAGACATCTGGACGCTGTAGTCCGGTTTTGTATGGTTCTGAGTTACCGGCTGGGTTTAAACCATGACAAGCTGGATACTTGATTCATGTCCTCTTTCTTTTATAATTTAGTAGGATGCATATGGAGTGCAGAACTTGAGAGTTGATCTTTTGCCCTTGTCTTGTGATTTTGTTTGTACATTTTTTAAAGCAAATTTCTCAAGCATTGCTTGCAGGCATTTCCCCTGTGGTTAGCTTTGCAGTGAGAGCACTCCTAGTTCATCCAGGCCTCATCTAATCACTGCAGGCTCCTGCTCATTTCCAGTAGACTTCCCAAGATTCCCTTAGCTTCCATGAAAAGTCTCATTCTCAAGCCATTTAATATTATTCTTCTTCCAGATGCGCCAGGGCTGCTTCTTAGTGAACACAGCCCGGGGAGGGCTTGTAGATGAGAAAGCCTTAGCACAAGCCTTGAAAGAGGGGAGAATCAGAGGAACAGCATTGGATGTGCATGAGTCTGAGCCTTTCAGGTAATGTTGCACCTGTATGCCTGCTGCTAGCCTGTGACCCACCTACACTGGATGACTCTAGCTTTTTGATGTTCGAGTTACAGTGATACCCAAGAGGACAGATGAGTTATCTGGTTTTTTTGTTTCCCTCATCCCCTCCCCCCCACAGCTTTGCTCAGGGGCCCTTAAAAGATGCACCTAATGTGATCTGCACCCCTCACACTGCCTGGTACAGTGAGCAGGCGTCCATTGAATCCAGAGAAGATGCAGCTAAAGAGATCCGCAGAGCTATTACAGGTAATGAGGAAGACCGTGTGCTCGCTGCAAGGCTTACGCTTCTTGTTCTGAAAACTTAGGCTCAGCAAATGGTTTCTAGAACTGGAGTGTAAGTTGGTAATTGTCTTGTAACTAATGCTGGAGTGGCACTTTCCATCCCTGGGAAAACCTTGTACCTAGTACATCCTTTGCAATAATTCCTTTGACAGTTACACTGTACACCATTTTTCTGGAGCAGTACATACTGTCTCTAGGGGAAGGTGAGGCTTGGCAATTGCAGTTTGTGGCCAATAATTTCGACAAGATCACAGAAGTGGGAAGGAAGGATCAATTTCTTGTATTCTCCAGAGACCAGTTGTTCAGAAGAGTCTCTCCTGCCGAGTGTTACCCTGTGGAGAGAGGTAGAAAAGATGATGTGCATTTCTTTTTTACTTTCCTTTCTAAACACTTCAGGGGACGAGCCCTTTCTTCGTGAGTCCTGGGTTTTTTTGTAATTCTTGGTACTCTTGCAGGTCACATACCTGATGCTTTGAGGAACTGTGTTAATAAGGAGTACTTGCTGCTAGCAGCTCAGTGGTCCAGTATTGATCCTGCAACTGTCCACCCAGAACTCAACGGAGCTGCAGCTTACAGGTGAGATGTGTATGTAGGTTGTACAAGTTACTGCTTTCAAGCCTATCTTCCTACTGAAGTGGGCCAGCATCCCTCTTTGGGTATGAGAACTGTTTGTAGCTGCAAGCTGTTTCTGTATGCTCTGTACATGAACTCTTTCCAGAAACTTAACAGCAGCACTTCCGAAGCTGTACTAGGATCTAATATTTACTTGGTCATATTTAGTTCCGGCTGCATAGTGGTTCATTTTTCCAAATCCTTGCAAGACCTGCCCAAGAGATCTCCTTCATATAAGAAAGCTTGCTTGGTGCCAGAAAAAAGAGGTCTGGATCTTGAAGTTTAGAAGTTGTGCACACTTTTTAACTGTAGCCCAGATATGGAGTACTAAAGAGGCATTGTCTGGTGGATTTGGGCAGTGGCCTGAATAAGAGTATATTTCAGTTTACTTGTCTTGTTACAGACCTGTCAAGTGATTCCAGGCAGGTTGCTTCCCTTCTGTTTTTCTCCTATCTGCAAGGGCATACGTTCTCTTCTCTTCTCTGAGACCTATAGAGGTTCAGGCATAGGGAGGCAGAACGGGAAGTAATGGAAGAATAGTTCATTAGCAATTAATGACTACTGCTGTCCTATTTTTCATCTCAACTTGTAGCTGGTTTTACTAGTTCATTTCCTTATTTTTTCTATCTTGGAGCCCAGCAAAGGATAACTGGCAGCTTGTGCTATCCCTGCTGATGGAGAGGGAATTTCCAGCCGTTCATGGTACCTTCACACAGCACCTCACACTGTTTTCCACTGGAGATAAACTCTGTACCAGTTTTTGAACTGCTGAGTACATGACCTGAGAGTGTCTGTGCCTGTCTGCGAATGGGTGTCATTAGGATACAACTGCTACTCTTCAGCTCTGGAGGCTTCTCCTGTGTTCTGTCTCAGAGCATTTCTGTTAGAAAGAGGGGTTTGTATCCAGCAGGTGCCTGAGGGCATGGCTCGTTGCCCTTTGGAATAACTCTGTTGGACAAGCTTGTAATTTCTGTTTCTGTTGGTTTTAGGTTTCCTCCAGGAGTAGTGGGAGTAGCCACCCCTGCGCTGCCAGAACCGCCAGTAGTGGAAGGGATTGTAGCTCACGGGATCCCTCCTGTTTCCCACTCTGCACCGCGTACCCCTTCCCCAGGAGAGACAAGCAAACTGGATGCAGACAGAGAGATGCCTGCTGACCAATAGCAGCATCTTCCCTCTCCTCTGGCAGCAGGAAAAAGGAGGAGGGCATCTCCTCCTAGGACCTTCTTTAACGCCCTTCGGAGACTGTTTCCTGTTCATGCAGGATGGGAGAATGCATTTCATTACTGGCAAACTTTAGCTCTTGCCTTTATTTTTTAACCCTTTAGTTTTAATCTCTCAATCTTTCCCCTTCCCTGGGGCAGGGCAGCAGTGACCTTGCCTCCTCTTGGAAACACTTAGTTTAACAAATTAATTTTCCCATATATCTGCCCCAGTTGTCTGTGACAGGGAACTGTCCTTGTGCACTCGAACACTGAAGTGGAGCTGCCTGCTCAGGACTGGCCCTCAATGTTCCCAGCACCAGACTTCAGTGCACACCTTTCAGTTGTGACTTGTAGCTTAAATTTAAT